CCCATTTCGCTTGGCCCTCTTTTAACACAACACTAACGGATCCTGGCCTGGATAGCTCAGGCCAGCCGGGGCTTGGAAGCTAAGCAGGGTTGGCCTTGATTAATATTTGGATGGGAGACTACCAAAGAAGTGCAGGACCTCTACTCAGAGGCAGACAACAGCAAGCCACCTCTGAATTCCCTTGCCCTGAAAAACCTATGCAGTCACCGTAATTCGGCTGCAACTCGGCAGCTTTTTCCTCCACCACCAATAGATCCTATGGGACAAAAACCAGAGGGACGTCATCTGGAAACAGCAATGTCCTTCCACCATGTTCGGTGGTGGTGGTGGTGGAGGAGGAGAAGATTGGATTTATACCCCGCCCTTCACTACCCAAAGGCGTCTCAGAGCGGCTCACAATCTTCTTTCCTTTCCCCTCCCCACAACAGACACCCTGAGAGAGCTCTTTCGAGGACTGCTCCTGAGAGAACAACTCTGAAAGAACTTGTGACTGACCCAAGGTCACCCCAGCAGCCACATGCGGAGGAGTGGGGAATCAAACCCGGTTCTCCCAGATTAGAGTCCATGCTCCTCACCACTACACCAGACTAGGGAGTGGGGGAACGCTGCCAACTGCAAGGGAGTGTACTTGACATATTTTATACATGCAGGCAGTTATGGGGGGGAACCAGGAGAGATCGACCCCAGGGCTATTTTTGGGCAGGAACGCACAGGAACGGAGTTCCGGCTGGCTCCTGAGTTGGCCACACCCAGCAGGAACTCATTAGCATAATAGGCCACACCCAACAGCAGAAATTCATTCGGATTGGCTACATTAGAGGTGTGTGGCCTAACATGCAAAGGAGTCCCTGCTACAAAAAAAGGCCCTGGGTTTTGACAACAAACAAGGTAAGCAGAATAAGAAGCAAAAGGTGGGTGTGGCTGGATGACCACACTTCTGGCAACACGGGGCTGCGGCCTAATAGGCTAATAAGCTGTGGTGTCAGGGTGTGGCCTATTATGCTAATGAGTTCCTGCTGGGCTTTTTCTACAAAAAAAAGCCCTGATCAACCCACATTGCAGAATGAGAGTTACAGATGACTGCTTCCGGGCGTGGCAGACGCAGCACACAAGGAACATTCGTGTGGGTTGCAGATCCTTGTGTAAAGTTCTCCTCAGTGTTAATCTGCTCCCATCAGCGAACGGTAGTGGAAGTTGCTGTAGTTAAAGCAGCTATAACTTTGCAATGGTTAAAGCAACTGTGTCCCAGATACTCCGGTCCACTGAGTTCGGATTGGAAACCCAGACTTCTCATTAGAAAACCAGGCCTGTCAACAGCCCCCCCGGGGCCAGACGGAACATAAATCCCTCTAAGTTGGTTGCAGTCAACGCAACCATGGCCTTCTTATTAACGGCAGCACTTTGCGGGCAAAGAATCAAGAGGAGAGGTGCTGAAAACAGTTTAGTAGTAAACAGATAATTCCCTGCTATTCTTGGCTTCAGAATCTAATTTAGCTACCCTGTTCTCTTTGACGTTAAAGGAGTCGATGGATTGTCTTGCAGACAATCAAAGTCTGCTGTGCTTCTGTATGCGAAAGTGATAACATAATGTGCAGTAATCAGTAAAGGCAGAAATTGGGAGTTAAATAGACCTCTTCCTCCTCCTCCATTACATACATTTTAAAAAGAGATGTGGGATTCAGACAGCAGAACAGAGACACCTCGCTTCCCACAACCCATCCAAGAGGTGAGTGTTATCTCTCTCTCGTCCTCAAGAGAGACTTCCAGAAACCTTTTGATTTACCCAGACTTCCAGAAAGCTTTTGATGTTCACCTAGACTTTCAGAAAGCTTTTGATAAAGTTCCTCATCAAAAGTTCCTAAGTAAACTTAGTAGTCATGGGAAAAGAGGACAAGTCCTCTTGTGGATTAAAAACTGGTTAATTAATAGGAAACAGAATGAGTATAAATGGGCAGTTTTCACAGTGGAGGGTGGTAAGCAGTAGGTACCACAGGGCTTGGTACTAGGTCTGGTGCTTTATAACTTGTTCATTAATGACTTGGAGTTGGGAGTGAGCAGTGAAGTGGCTAAGTTTGCGGATGACACTAAGTTGTTCAGGGCGGTAAGAACCAGGGAGGACTGTGAAGTGCCCCGGAGGGATCTGTCAAGGATGGGCGAGTGGGCGTCAACGTGGCAAATGGGGTTCAACGCAGGCAAGTGCAAAGTAATGCACACTGGAGCCAAAAATCCTAACTATAAATACACATCGATGGTGTCCGAACTGGCAGAGACTGACCAGGAGAGAGATCTTGGAATCATGGTAAATAACTCGCCGAAAATGTGGACTCAGTGTGCAATGACAATTAAAAAAGGGAAATGCTATGCTGGAATTAGGAAGGGAACTGAAAACAAATCAGCCAGTGTACAGTTCTGGTCACCGCCCCTCAAAAGAAGATATTATAGCATTGGGAAAAGTGCAGAAAAGGGCAACTAAAATGATTAAGGGGATGGACCATCTTCCCTATGAAGAACGGTTAAAGACAACTGAAGGGTGACATGATAGAGGGTTACAAAATTATGCATGGGATAAAGAAGGTAGAAAAAGAAGTACTTTTCTCCATTTCTTGCAATACAAGCACTCCTGGGCACTCAATGAAATTAAGGAGCAGTAGGTTTAGAACACGTGAAATTCACTGCCACAGGAAGTGGTGATTGCTACAAGCATAGACAGCTTCAAGAGAGGATTAGATAAACATATGGAGCAGAGGTCCATGAGTGGCTATTAGCCACAAGGTATAGATGGAATACTGCCTGGGGCAGTGGTGCTCTGTATTCTTGATGCCTGGGGGGGGGGCAACAGTGGGAGGGCTTCTGGAGTTCTGGCCCTGCTGGTGGACCTCATGATGGCACCTCGTTTGGCCACTGTGTGACACAGAGTACTGGACTGGATAGGCCACTGGCCTGATCCAACATTGGCTTCTCTTATGTTCTTAAGAAGCTGGATAGAATCCCTAAACCATCTAAAACTGATGCACCTAAATATCAATTTAAACTACAACAACTAGAACAGAAGCAAAGCTAGGTGATTACAACACTTCAGAAGGAGATGGTATTAAAAAGTTACTTAACTCTACAGGCAAAATAAAGTGTACAACTTGAAAGCAATAAATACATGAGGATCCATTTCCCAAGAGGCCAGGAGCCAGATCTTTTGAGTCTCTAAAGGAAGCCACCTAGGAGCACTAAGAGCATTCAGGAAACCAGAATCCTTCTGGCACTCCAAAGGGTTCCAGAGGAAGAAAACCAGACTCTCTGAAGACTGGCTAGAACCCAGGCAGGAAGTGACAATTTACATAAGCCATTTGGCTTTCCAAACAAACATTTAAGATCTTTAAAACCTGGACATGCTCAAAATGGAAGCCACTTCAGGCCTTCCAATCCGTCTCTCTCAAGCTCACCTAAGACATGGGCAGAATGGCCACCCAGTCATCACAAATAAGGGTGTGCAGTCGGACCTACCTGAGCCAAGATTATACCTGAAAAATACCTTATCAGTCACTGCTCCAACCGGCGGTGGGAGGGGGAAAAATTAAAGTCATCTGGGGCATGATATCACTTCCAGGGGAAACCCAGTAGTGACGTTCCAGGGGAAACCCAGTAGTGGCGAATTGCCAAAAACTCAGAGGTGTCAAGCTCGTTTGTTATGAGGGCCGGAGGGACAGAACTGACATATGCGTCACTTTGTCAGGCTGGGCCATGTGTGCCATAAAATGTAATGCCAGGTACCGGAGATATAAACTTTTTAAAAGACACAGGCAAACTCAATTAACAATATTATTTTTTAATCAAAATACAAAGAAAAGTAATTGATTCTGTCAGACTCCCAGTCGAAGAAGAGATTGGATTTATACCCCACTCTTCACTACCCAGAGGTGTCTCAGAGCAACTCCTTTCCCTTCCCCTCCCCACACCCTGTGAGGTAAGTGGGGCTGAGAGAGCTCTTGACAGAACTGCTCTTTTTTCAAGAACAGTTCTTATCAGAACTATGGCTCGCCCAAGGTCATCCATCCAGGTGCAAGTCGAGGAGTGGGGAATCAAACCCAGTTCTCCCAGATTAGAGTCCACACACTTAACCACTACACCAAACTGGCTCTAAAGTTACACTCAACAACTCTCTTTTGACAGTGAAAGTTTATTGAGTTATATGCAAGATCCAGAAAGTCACTGTGTTAGAACTGAAGACTTTGGGCGGGTAGAAGCTTGTTATAGAAAATTCAAGCGGGTCCCATCCATCCCCCCAAGAATACGTCACATACATACTCCGCCTAACATTGCCATGCCAACCAGGAGAGATCTATGTCCTGGTAATCTAGAGTCCGAGATGGCACAGGAATGTGTTCAAGGCCACCTTCCCCTGGGAAAGCGAAAGGGGAGGAGGAAGAGGATGACTTGTGGAATAGTTACACCTTCTAGAAGCAAAGGTCTCGATCACTCCCGCAGACACTCAACCCCACCCTCAGGAATGCCCTCCCCCCCAGAATTATGGCAACCCAAGTAAGCCCAGCATAGCGGGGCTTGACAGATTCCTAGCAGTGAAAGCAACTGATTTACTGGGGAACCCACAAAAGCCTGGCTCTCCCAGGTCCGCCCCCTCCCCCAGTTCTCATCCCTCTTGCGTTACCCACAGAAGCCGCGGGCCTGGGGGGAAAGCCTGACAGAGAGGCTGTTTCCAAAACCTACAGGGGGCGCTTTTTGTGCTTCCACGATCCTTTCTCCCTCGCGGGCTGAGAAAAGCACCAGTTGCTTGCGGGCCAGATAGGAGCCCTGGACAGGCCATGTGTCTGACACCCCCGACACGCAACGGTGCCGATTTCACCATGCCCCCACACCCGAAGCTCCTGCTGGGTACCAGATACGCCCTGGAAACCCTGCTGTCATTCTATGTACAACAACAGCATCTGATTTATTCATTTATTTATTTATTTATTTATTTATTTATTTAAAGATGCATGAAACTTTACCTAGACTGGTCGGCTTTATCAACTCGTCCAGCAAGTCGTAAAAGGGCAGCTTCTGAAGCTTTATATCCGGGTGCACGGGGTGGAGTGCTGAGGTAAGGTGCGGCAGTTCCAGTTCGTGTTTGGGTCCCAGGAGAGAAACGGGAAGCAAGGGGGACGTGGCGGGGTGGCCGTCGTAGGCCAGCTGTGGAATGGTCGTGGGCGACAAGGCCGCCGGCAGGGAGCTCGAGTGGACGGCGGGGAGGGAGAGGTCTGCGGAAGTCATGATCTTCTGAGGGAACCGGCGCCTGTACAGCTCCTTGATCTTCATCTGGACGGCGGGGCTGCAGCCGGCCTTGAGCAGGTGCAGCGCTTTCGTGAGGAGTTCGTGTTTGCGGCCGTGCTTGTTCCTTCCCGCGTATCCCAGCAGCACTTGCAGCTCAGAGACCCGAAGGCTCATCACCATTTGCTGGAGGACAAACAAAGAGACAAGGACAATTATTACTATCACAGTCCCGTCGGCGTACGTGGCACTGTGCGCTTTACACTTTGGCTGAGAGAAGGCGGACTGAGGAGCCAGGTACCCTACGTTTATAAAAATGGGGGTGTCACAGTTCAGGTGGGGTGTCACCTGATGCTGCCACCACTCTGGTTTTAGGATCCCTTGAGAAGGCCCAGAGCCAGCCTCCCAAGACCTTCAGACCTCCCTTACTTGGCCGAATAACAGGCGTGAGGACCAGGCAGAGTAAACAACAAATAAAAGGTTTATTTGTACAGGAGGTCAGCCCAATATGGGAAAACAAACAAGGTGCAAGAACAATAGCAATACGTGGGTGAAGGGGAAAGAAACCAAATGCCCTAATGCAACTAGACTCACAGTCCCTAGCTCACTGTCTCAGTGGGGCCTGAGTCTGCTCACCCTCCCTCTCAGGGTGAAGGTCTCTCCCAACAGCAGCCTCCCCTCTGGCCCTGCTCTCCTGGAAGGAAGAACGGCTCTTCTTTGGTACCAGCTTTTTTGTTATAAGTCCCCTTTCTCTGTGATTGGCTAAAATTGGCACCAAAACCTCTCAGGGGCTTCTGGGAGTTGTAGGCCTGGCCTCCTCCCACTTCTACTCAGGCTCCCTGGGCCTGCTAGGCCTTTACTTGCACAGTCCAGATCATGACAGGGGGTCTGGGGGGGCTGAGAGAGAAGCAACTCCAGGAATAAGGGGCAGCTGGGGAGAGCACGTGGGAATCCCTTTTCAAGAGAAGAGAGCTTTGGGTGGGTTCAGACGTTGTCTCTTGGGCTTGCAGAGCTCTTCTGCTTCTACCTTAAAGGACGCGCGCACTCCGTCACGGACACCTCCTTTGCGAGCTGTATTAAAGTCAGTGAGAATGATGAAGGAATGTGAATATTTTACAAAATCTATATGCTACCTTTCTGCATAAGGGCCACCGAGGTGGCTAACAAATTAAAACATACATAATAAAATCACATCTTAAAGACCATTAAAACCAACAAAAGTAATTAAAACCAGACCCAATACACACACACAAAACATAAAGACAACAATTAAAACATTTGGCAGGAAAGAGAGACCACCGAGGGAATGCCAAATGAAACCAAAAAGTCTTCACCACTGGCAGAAGTTGGCAATTGGAAGAGGACAGACAAGTCTCTTTGGGGAGAGAGTTCGAGAGCTTTGGTGTCACTAATGAACAGGTCCCTCCCTGTATGCTAATTTGCTGCTCACCCTCTACCTACATGTATGGACGGGTAACTTCCATTTCACTGTATCTGAAGAAGTGTGCATGCACATGAAAGCTCATACCTTTAAGAAGAAGAAGAGGAGATTGGATTCATACCCCTCCCTTCACTACCCAAAGGTGTCTCAGAGTGGCTCACAAACTCCTTTCCCTTCCCCTCCCCACAACAGACACCCTGTGAGGTAGAAGAAGAAGAGATTGGATTTATACCCCGCCCTTCACTACCCAAAGGTGTCTCAGAGCGGCTTACAAACTCCTTTCCCTCCCCCTCCCCACAACAGACACCCTGGGAGGTAGAAGAAGAAGAGATTGGATTCATACCCCACCCTTCACTACCCAAAGGTGTCTCAGAGTGGCTCACAAACTCCTTCCCTTTCCCCTCCCCACAACAGACACCCTGGGAGGTGGGTGGGGCTGAGATAACTCTTGACAGAAACTGCCCTTTTTCAAGAACAGCTGTGCCAGAGTTATGGCTTGCCCAAGGTCATCCAGCCAGGTGCAAGTGGAGGAGTGGGGAATCAAACCCGGTTCTCCCAGATTAGAGTCCGCGCACTTAACCACGACACCAAACTGGCTCTCAGAGGTTCTCTCTCTCTCTCTCTTTTTGGTGTTTGTAGTCTTCCTGGCTTGGAGCTGGCGACTTACCAAGCGCAGGGCTATGCAGGAACTGGAGAGGTCAGGCTTGGTCCCTCCAATAGGAGCCAAGCAACAAAAGAAATTTGCATAGCCTATCCGAGCGAGCAGAGGTGTGACCTAACCACTTCCTGGATGACTTCCCCCCACTGAAGGAGAACTTCCATTTCACTGTACCTGAAGTAGCGTCCATGCACATGAAAGCTTATACCTCGAATAAAACTCTGTTGCTCTTAAAGGTGCCGCTGGACTCGAACTTGGTTCAGGGCCTCTCTCAGGTTGCCACCTGCCTAATCTCAGAAGGTAAGGGCACCCAAACCAGGGCCTCTGAAGATGACCACGGTGGTCAAGCAGGTTTACAAAGGGAGTAGGCAGTCCTTCAGGTATGTTGGTCTGCAGAAACCGTACAGGTCTGCAGAAAGCAAGCAGTGGTCTCTCTTTCCTTTCAAGGTCAGTACCAGCATGGTGAATTGTGCCTGGAAACAAATTAGGAGCCAGTGTAGACGGGCTAAGACCGGAGTGAGAGGGTGCCTTCGACCCACTCCAGTCAACACCCTGGCTGCAGCACTCTGCCCAGGAAAGGCAACAGCTCGTTAAACGGTCAAAAGTGCCAAAGGCCCTCCTGGCCACAACGGCTACCGGCTTATCCAGCAGTCGGCCTCAGTACAAGACCACCCCTCAGACTATGGACCTGGTCCTCCAAGGGGACTCCTACCCCATCGAGAATGGGTGCAACACTTTAAATCCTGGGTCAGACCTCCTTCTCATCAGCAGCATTTCCATAGCATCAGGATTAAGTTTCACTTCATAATTATTATCATTATTGTTGTTGTTAACAACAACAACAAAATAAAGTTAGAGTCCAATAGCACCTTTAAGACCAACAAATTTTTATTCAAGATGTGAGCTTTTGTGTGCATGCATGATGCCGGGTAGCCCCGCAGTGGTGTTTTTCTCTCACTTTTCTTTCACTCTAATCTGGGAGAACCGGGTTTGATTCCCCACTCCTCCACTTGCACCTGCTGATGTGACCTTGGGTCAGTCACAAGCTCCGGCACAGCTGTCCTTGAAAAAGAGCAGTTTGTGTCAGAGTTCTCTCAGCCCCACCCACCTCACAGGGTGTCTGTTGTGGGGAGGGGAAGGGAAAGGAGTTTGTAAGCCGCTCTGAGACACCTTTGGGTAGTGAAGGGCGGGGTATAAACCCAATCTCTTCTTCTTCTTTGGAATGTGTAATTCTCTGCAGCTGTTTCTTGCTCCTGCCTCTCTTATCTGGCCATTGGCCTTCAGCGCTCATCCCTTTGGCTCGAAGCCTCTGCTGTCTCCCACTCACCTATGAACCGTTAACCAGTTCCCCGCACTCCGTATTAATTGCTTATTGGCTTCTAGGTGTCAGGGGGTGTTGTATGAACACACTACAATTACTATGGCCATTTTGTACGCTTCATCCCTGACTCAAAGAGTCTAAGATGACTTCACCTTTCTCTGATCAATAAAGCTGAACCTGTTTAAGGACCTGCTTTTGATGCTGAGTTATTGAAGTACCTGACAAGAGTGAGACAGTGAAATGGAATTACAGGTCATAGTTCTATATATAGGGGTAGCTTGTTAAATTAGAATGCAAAATAGTGAAAATCTCCCTTATATATAAAAGCCGAATGGTGGTGGCACATTCCACACGCTCCGGAATTGGTTGGCGCCCTGGTGTGTCACTCAGAATCTGTCCCTATCCATTGGCTGCATTGCTTGAGTCTGGCCTCCAACATTCTAAACAGTTTGCTGTTCCTCTCCCCCCCAGCAGCCAATCAGAACACAGAGATTATTTGCATATGCAGCCTCACTGGCCTTTGCCTCGGAACACAGAAGTCATTTGCATATGCGACTTGATTGGCTTTTGCCTCTAACATTCTAAAGTTTGCTCTTCTGAGGTAAAATGTGTCCAATCTCCAGGTGAGAGCTGGAGATCACTCAGAATTACAACTGGTTTCCAGATGGCAGAGATCAGTTCCCCTGGAGAAAATGGTGGGCTCTGAATCCTTATATCCTGCTGAGGTAGCCCCCGTATGACAGCCAATGTGACGTAGCAGTCAGGGCTTCAGAGCATGGGAGAGGCTGCAGGTGTGTGGGGGGTGGAAAGCTGAAGAGTGAGGGGAAAATAAAGGTAGGTTGATGATTGGCTGGGAAGGAGATAGGGTTGCCAACTCCAGGTGGGAAATTCCTGGATATGTGAGGGATGGAGCCTGGAAAGGGTGGGGTTTCAGGAGGCGTAGGACCTCGGACAGGTACAAAGCCATAGACTCCACCCTCCAAACCAACCATTCCCTTCTGGGGAACCATCGTTGCCAATCTCCAGGTGAGGGCTGGAAATCACTCAAAATTACAACTTTAGGTAGCAGAGATCAGTTCCTCTGGAGAAAATGGTGGACTCAGTGTCATTATACCCTGCTGAGGTCGCCACAGCAAATTGTCACTGAGTGTCCAAGGCCAGGGCACCCGCCCAGAGCCTCTTTCTAGAGATCGTTGTATTTATTTCCACAACGGGCCTTTTTCCTAGTATTGAATAAAACATCTTGAATAAAAATCTGTTGGTCTTAAAGGTGCCATTGGACTCTAACTTTGTTGTATTGCTTCAGACCAACATGGCTGCCCACCTTGATATAATAATCATCATCATTAACAACTGCCCTTTCCTGGAGTGCTCAGGGTGGTGTACAACAACATAAACATAAGCAATTAAACAGTAAATAAGAATTATTAGCCCTCTTCTGCTCCTAAACTGCCTCATGGCACCGTTCGAGGGATTCTACAGCCTCCCTGGGATCAGCTGGAAGCCCAAGATAAGCGCTGAGTGTCATCTGCGCATTGGTGATAAGGATGATCTCACCCAGTGGTTTCATGTAGATGTTAAAGCGCGTAGGGGACAAGATAGAACCCCTTTGTGGGACCCCACAGGCCAAAGGGCTGAGCAGCAGTCCTTCAGTATTCCCTTCTGAAACCCACCCTCCAGGTAGGACTCCAACCACCGCAAAATGGTGCCTCTCAATCCCAGCCCGGAAAGGTGGTCCAGAATGATATGATCAACAGTGTCAAAGG